ATTTTGCAGGTTCAGCATCACAGGACAACTTCACCTCATGCCAGGCACCAGCCTCACTCTACCTTGTGACTGGTTCGAGCACTGGGCACCGCTATTCAATGTAGCATTCATGACTTGGTATCCATAAACCCTTTCCTTTGGGTTTTTTCCTAACACATCTTTTCCTCCTGTTGCCCTACCAACATGACATGCTCATTGTAACTTTTATGGATGCATTCAGCTTTCTRGCTTTACTCATCATTCCCCCCTGCTTCACCTGACATGCCTATTATTTTCCTACAGATAGGCAATGTGTCTTAAATCTACAGCTCCACAAGCTTTTGTTTGCTGGCTTGCTAAAATTCTGTGTCACCTCTTCTGCTGCCCTTTAAAGGGAAAAATATTCCCATCAGAAGCTACTGCTGGTGGTCGACATTTGGTGATTTAATTGGGAATAAGGATGCTATCAGAGTTGAAGATCATGTGGCTCAGAGCTCAGACACTGTAACAAAAGGGACTTTGGAATACAGCAATATTAATAGGTTTCAGGGGGAAAAAAAGAATCCTATGATGAAATCTTTTATAATGGGGACACTATCAGGAGAGAGGTGGTAGAAGCTTCCCCAGTTAGGAAACTTTAAGCAGAAATTCACAATTCAAGAACTTATCCTAGACAGAGRTTGTACATCAGCAAGAAGAGTGAGAAGATGATAAGGTTTCCAAGTTTCTCACACTGTGATCTGTTGGAACATGAGTGTACTTCCTACTTTATGCTTCCCTAGACAAACCATCACCCGTGTAACACACACTGAGCAGAGCAGAGGTTGGATATTCTGCTCCTCTCTCTAGTGGGATGTGGCTGGTGGAAGCGCACAGATTAGCAGACAAAGCCATGCCTAATGTTATTAGCCGAATGCTTTCACAGAGCTATGGCATTATGGAACTTCAGCAGAAATGTCTCACTGACCAAACTGATGGTCTTACTAGGTTAACAGAAAAATAATTACTTTTCTTTTCAGCCCTACGTAACAAATCACGGTGGTTGAGGCACCAGGCATTCTAATAACAGCGTTAGCAAATAAAATGTGTGTGTAAGTACATGTGTATGTTGATATACAGAGAAATTCCAGCTGCATTTAATTCATGATGTACTGAATGTTCTCAAAGACCACTATTATTTACTGAAATAAAGCACCAGCAAGAATGACTGGTGTGCAATATAATCAGGGGTCTTTGTTGTTTTAAGAAACCGAATGAATGAACACATAACATCCACTGGTTTCCGACATGACGGGCATATGGTGCTCATAAATAAATTAAAAGCATGATATTACAGTTACGCTAATACCACTGAGTGGCAACATTTGGTAAACTGGAAAGCTGTCCATTCTATCCTACCTCATAACAAAAACACAAAATCTCTGAGTAAAACCAATTAATTGTTGCTGATGGCTTTTGGGGTTTCCTCCCATTAAGCCATGTTACTAGGTCTCAAATGAAACACTAGATCACTTTCTCATGTATARCTTCAGATATATATTTTAAAACCATTAAAATTACATAGAAGGTAATTGTCAGCTACAATACCCCTCAGCAACAATACCTCCATACCTAGGAGAGATTCACAGTGATATGAAAGACTGCAGCAGGACCTGGGTGCCTACATTCTATTTTGATTCAAAACTGAGACCCTGAAAAGGGAAAAATAGCTGCCTACAGGACCAATACTGCTCTTTTACACTGGTCTACTCTTCATGGTACTTACAAGAACATGAGCGACCCAGGTTCAATTTCCAAATGTCCTTGCGTTTAGGAACCTCAGTTTCACATTTCTCCCAGGAATGCCCTACCTACACACTCCTCTTTCCACATGTTCTTACTGTTTGTCCGAACTGTCACGCTTTCCCCAGTGGCACCACTCCTGCAAAATTTACAGCATATAGGAATACATTTCTTTCTGCTACACTTGCACTCCAAAGCCACAATCAGCAGTAAGTCATCCAGCTGACCTATCTCAAAACACAAAATACGTATYATCTCAAGCACTTTGGAAAATGACATTGGTGAAATTTTCCACTGACCTCCCTTCAGCACAATAAATGTCGTGCAGTCCATGCCTTTAAATCTTAAAATCCATTYGTCTGCCTGCAAACTTAGCCAGATAACCAGCAAGGCCAAATAAAAACTGTTCCATCAACCTGAGCTAACTCCAGGCTAATCCTCATCTCACTTCATCCACATTCATCCATTTTCCGTGGTACTTACAGGTTCCATAGATGAATCTGGCTCTTCGAGCTTTGCTGAACCCTAGCCCTGGCACAAAGACACAAGTCCCCATCAGGCCAGAACATTTTTCAGAATGGGTGGCACCTGAAAGAACTCCCTTACTGGACTGTTTGTGGTAACCTCCTTTGGGTTAAGACTAGCCCAAAATCTGGAGTTAACACACRGTATAGGAGAGAAGTATGCAATACATTCCCGATCACTAGTGTGTTCAAATGGTCTTCAATTATTTTCCATATGATAGAGGTCACCTCTCTTTTTGGATAAAGCTAAAGTGATGATTAAGGCTAATACTTTTATTTCTGAGGGCTGCTGAAGGAATAAATAGCCTGGTGCCAGTAGAATCAAATCAAGCCACAGTTTGGTGATAAGATCGTGCCTCCAAGAGCTGTTGTTCAGGAAGCCTGTGGTAATTTTTCACGGGTTATGCCACGCAAAATAAAAAAAACAGTGGACTGAATGGACTAGAGGAAGTTGCAAATGGAGAGGTATCACTTCTCTAGGATTTAGGTAAGGATTCCTAGGAATCCTAGGGTTGGAAAATCATACCCTAGATTCTATCCAGACCATGAAAGCAAAAAAGGTCTGATTCTAGAAAGGYTGTAAGGTAAAACTGAGTTTTGAGGAATTATTCTTCAGTACTAGGGATTGTTTTCTTGTGATAGTGTTAGTGATACAGTTGAGTTACAGGAATGAATGGGCTAGAGAATTGCGTTTATTCCTGAATTTTACTGGGATTGCCATCTTAACAGAGGATGTTAATACAGTAGTAGAACTGCTGTAGCATAGCTTACAGGATATATTTTGATCTGTTAATGGCCAAGGTCACTTTTGGTTTTACAAAAGAGGATATGTTAGCCTTAGACATGTCAGAGCAGGATGAAAACTGTGCTGCAGATACTTTGGATCATAGCAGTACAAAAACCAAGCTGCATGATGAACCCTACCKAAATGCAAGAAGTCTGTCTTTTTTTGAGACACAGATGTGGAAGGTTAAGTCTTGTTTCTGAATCCTGGAAGACCTGCTGTTGCTTCCAGACCAAAAAGGTAGGGTTTGGGTTTGGTCAGTCGAAGTCATCAGTCTTCCACTTGGGCTGAAAAAGGTGAACTCCTAAATACACCTGCAAAGTAGTTCCAGGACAGCCAAGTGTTGCTTTTCTGACCTTAATGCAACAGTTTGTGTCATGACTGCAAAGCCAGGCYAATTCATCCTTCCTGCAGACACAAGACATTCAGGAGTGCTGGGCACAGCAAAGGAAAGGAAACGTGATGGGGTAGACTACATTTGGTTTTAGGTGAAATTCATCTTCCAGGTCCACAAGGGTCTGAGATGTTAAATGCACTAAGTGGGCTGTGTGCTGCAGGCTCCACTGAGCACTGACACGCTTAGCTGGACTACTATTTAAGTTCAGGTCACTGGGCCAGAGTTTAAAGTTACAATTAGCCCTCAGAACAGAAGTGGCTGGAGTGTCAGGTTTAACACAGTGTTCCAGTCCAATATCAGAGTCAAGCTGGAAGACATTCTGGTACAAAGTTAGCTGACCTAATTGAATTCAGGTCAAGGTTAAGGGCTTGCTATAATTTCAGCTGAAAAGAAACATTTATGTCTCATCCTACTGGATTGCTAAATTTCACCTGAGTTAGTTCTAATATATTAAACCAACTTTAATCTGGAAAGTTGGAAGGATCAAGTAGGGTTTAGCATCAGCATGGCTTAGTATTGTACAGGCCATTAGAACTAGGAAAACTATTGGTGAAAAAAATCAAATGGGACGAAGGTTAGACATAGGCAAGCAGGGCCTGAGTTTAGGGCTAAGTGTTAATGTTTGGTATGGGAGGGACTGAAGAACTTTGTGAAAGTCTGTCCTGCAACTGATGCATTGCTCTTTTTCCTAAGGAAAAAAGAGACTTCACAGGGAAAAGCCTAGCAGACAGAGGAAGGAGAAAGAGGAAAAAGAGACACACAATACTTATCAAGACTGGTACTGCAAGAGAATGGTTTAGAAGTCTATACACATATACACATCTGTTTTCCCCAATCTTTAACCTTCCTCCCATCCTTCCTGTCTCCCTGTGAGTCTCCCTTCCGCCCGACTCCCACAGTACTCTGTCTCCTCATGTCACACAGGCATTCCTTTCTTTATGTTTCTCTTCATCCTTCCCAATCCCAGCACTGGGAMAAGGCAGCAAGAGAAGAGAAAAACAAGGGAAGCAGCTTTACCATTTTTTTGATCTTGTGACCAAACGAACAGTGAGAAGCACAACTACCAACACCAGCACTACCATCACAATAAAAACGGATGTGTTGCAGCATCGGATGGCAATGGATGTTTTGCTAGCCTGGAGAGAGCAATAAGTGAGGGTTGCAAAGGTTTGACCACAAGCCTTCGGGGAGAGATCGAAGCATTGAGGACTGCCAGAAACTGGTGAGCCGACTGTGCCCGTGGGCTCTCAGGCCGGCCGGGTAGAGCTGACCCCACCGGACCCTGTCTCCTGGCAATTGCTATTTGCAGCAAACGCGTCTCGAAAAGCACCGAGCCGCCTCGAGGGGCACCTCTGAGGCCGCCCCTTTGCCCGGCTGCCACCACACGGTGGGCATCCAGCGGCTGCCACCAGCTGTGTGTCAGCCCGGCAGCGCCGCGCCGAGCGCGGGGTCCGCCCCGCCGCCGTCTCCGCCCCTGCGAGGAGGAGGAACCGAGAGTGCCCGACCCGGTGGCTTTTAGGGGGGGGGAGGCCACTCAGTTGTTAAGAGCTCAGGTCCTGTGCTCCTCTTCCAGCTGCTGCTTGTGTTCGTTTCCAGTGCTACGGCCACCAGACTGGCTGCTGCCCGGCCTCCCCTCCTCCTTTTGCCGGTACCTACCTCAAAACCGCCGGAGGCTGCGAGGCTCCGCTCTTGAARGAGGAGGAAGCTGGGTCTGCAAAGGCAGAAGGGAATTGCATTGTAGCTGGGTGGCGGGGGAAAAAACGAGGGGCGGGGGAAGAGAGGAGTTAAAAAAAAAAGGAAAAAAAGAGCGGGGCTGAGTCTGGAAGCGGGTCTCGCCGCCCAGGACCTGCACGCCCCGGCGGCCACGCGTGGGTGCAGATMGCGGCGCGGCGCGCAGGGCCGGGCGGAAGATGCACACGACGCAGAAGGACACCACTTACACCAAGATCTTCGTCGGGGGCTTGCCCTACCACACCACCGACTCCAGCCTGCGCAAGTACTTCGAGGTCTTCGGGGACATCGAGGAGGCGGTGGTCATCACCGACCGGCAGACGGGCAAGTCCCGGGGATACGGCTTTGTAAGTGCCGGGGGGCGGCGGGGCAGGTGGGCGGCTGCGGGGGAGGATCGCGGGGAAACTTCCGCGGGGGCCGCTGTGAGAGCTCGGGGGAAGGGACCGGGGTGTCGGGCGTCCGGCTTTTTGCTTT